GGGGCAATGCCAGGCCACGGTGTCTGAGGTGGAGGGGTCTTGGCAGCCTCTGTGGGCCTTGAAAACCTCACGCAGGAGGGAGCTGGGGCCTCTTCATACAGCCTGTATCTTCCAAACTGGAGGTGAGGCTGCACAGTGCGGGAGTCCCAGCTGCCCAGTGTCTGGACAGGGACATCCCAGCCCCTGAGTTGCTCCCATCTGGAAAGCTGGGGCCCAATCAACCTTCCTCAGCTGTCCTGCCCACTGATTAACCAGGAAATGTGTTATTTGTTCTGAGCAGGGGAACAAGCTCTCCTGGGGAGAGGAATTCAGGGCTGGAGGTCCAGTCACTTCCAAGGAGGAAAAATCCCTGGAATTCTGTTGGGAGTCTGGGTCTCAGCAAAGGGAGCAGAAACGCAGTCCTTGCTTTTTGGTCCTTATTTACCAAATTAGTTCAGGTTCTGGTAGCTTTCTGGCTGCCAGCATGATTCCATAAAGACATAGGAAAGCAATTAGGTTGCCCTGGGTGTCCAGCAGGCTACCATCCCCACTCGTGGTGTGCAAGTCATGGCAAACCCCCCCTCCCCCGAGCCTTCTTATCAAGCCCTTGGGACTCTCTGCAGGGCTTTCCAGAGGTGATTTCCCTCCCCAAGAGGTGGGTGAGTAGGCTTAGCATTCTGTGCCTCATTAGGGGGGAAGCTGGGATCAGGGGTAAGGAAGTGACACATAGTGAGTCAGGGGCCATGCTGGAAACGGCCCCTCTTCTTTTACTGGGCAGGGAGGGTAGAAGGGGGACAGAAAGTTCTTGTAACTCCACATCCCCAGGGACTTGAGTTGTGGGTTAACAGACAGGGAGGGGGGCACTGGGGAATGTGCAGTCCAGATACTTAGGTGGCAACAGCAGCAGAGGTGGCTGGGAAAGATACCACTTCAATGTGAGGATGGCCACAGAGTCACAAGCCTAAGGGGAAGGCAAGATGGTACAGTCTTAAAAGCTTGGGCTCAGATGAATCCTGTATCTGGAACTTATCAACTGTGCAAGCCAGTAGCTCTTCCTAGCCTCAGTTTCCTTCTTTGTGTAGGTGGAAATCATGGTGCCTCCTTTATTTGGTTAAATGGGCCACTTTACATAGCATACTTAACGCGGTGTTTGAACCATAGTAGACTCTGTAAATTTTGGTAACTTAAAAAAAGAAAGGAAAACCTCAAGTGTTTATGGGATTGGTGATTCCGAAGAGCTGCATCAACAGATACCAATAGTTACAGGGAAAGGGAGTGATGGACAGTAAGTGGGAGACAAGACAGGAAGGTGGCGCTGGGATGGGGGAGTAGGAGATGCCAGTCTTTAGGGTAGATTAACCGGGCTGTGGGCTCCCAGGGGAACAGGGTGGGAATTTCCAAGGGACCATTTGTATTCACCAAGGAGTAGGAGGGGCGCCTAGCGGAGTGGGAAGCGTGTCTGCCTGAGGGTTTTGGCTGGGGCCAAGCGGTGAGAGGCTGAATGGGCGGCAGGCTTCCAGAAGTGCAGACGGAGGAGACGGAGCAGTAATAATGACTTGGACACACGGGAGGAAAAAATAGCTCAGGGACGAAGATGACGCCAAGGTTTCTGGCCTTGGGAGGCTCATGGGGTTCTGAGGTGAGTGCCGAGGGATGAAGAGGAGTGCTCCTGAAGGAACTGGCAGGTAGTGGGGAGAGGAAGGGAGTCGGGAACTGAAGAGTTGGGTGGATAACGGGGAAGGACAGGACGTGTGGAGCTCGGGCTTCCCCGTAGCTGTGAAGGAGCGATGTCTCGGGGAGAGAACTGAGCATTCTGGAAATCAAGGTGGCATTCATCCCAAAACACAAGGCACAGAATTCAAGGAGATCCTTAGGGCCATCCCTCAAGGCAGTGAGCACATGAACTTGGACCAGGAACTACCACCAGGAACTCAGTATTTCTCTCTTAAAATGGTTCTAACGATACCAGCCTCCCTACTTCATGGGATTATTCTGTCATTCACTCAGTTAGCCATCCATTGAACCCAAATTTCTTGGCTGTCTCTTAGAGTCAAGTACTGTTCTGGGTTCTGGGGAAACAGTGGTGAGCCAGGCAGACGCGATAGCAGTTCCTTTAGAGCTACCATTGCAGCTTGGGAAGTCAGGCAATAATGAGTTTTTTCAGTTGTTGAACAGGATTTTTCCTGTGGTCTTGAATTTTTGCTGAAGCCACAAGGACAGACCAATAATGACTAAAGATTCTCACATTCCAAAGACAAGTGCTACACACTTTGCTAACAACATAACAGGTTCAACAACTATAGAGCCACATCCCTCAATACCAGCCTATGAATGAAAGGGATTGAAGAAAGTGTTGAGGTAGAAAACTGTTGCATTAGTAGGCAGAGCAGAGGTTTTCCCTGAGGGTACCCCCCCCATGCAAACCAAGTAAAGGGGGCTCCAAGAGAACCAGTTGCAGAGTTTGGGGGGCCTATAAGAAGAGGAAAGTAGCATGACTTCCCACAACTCTCCCTCCACTGATGCTGGCTGAGTTGCTGGAAGCTGGAAGCATCCCGAGGTACCAAAGCACAGCAAGAAAGTTCTTGGGAGAACCCAACATATGTCTTTAGGAATCGGGGATGAACATAAATGAAGAGACTTGTGGGCACTTCCTGTCTGGAGAATTCTGCCTGTGGAGCATGGCTGGAGTGGCTTCTGTGGCAGGGTGAGGAACAGCCAACTTACCATTGGTTTGCTGGCATGAGTGGGAAAGTCCATGAGGGACAGAGGATACAGGGATTTGTAAGAGGTTGGCCAGAGAGTGTTTTGCTATAGCAGTGCAGGGTGGAGGTCTTGCAGGGAGCTTCCCAAGAATCCGCAAATGTGCCCATGAAAGAGTCAGCGTGTGGCACCTGCCAGCCAAGGACACCTGTCACATAAAACTTTGCCACATTTCCTCTATTACCTCTGCCCTGACCCCAACAAAGAGGAGCCACCACAGAAAAGGATGGTCAGAAAAGCAGACCACAGGCCACTCTCTCCACTACAGAATCTCTAGCCAGGAAACAGTCCCATGGGGGGCAGGGAGGAGTATTGAATTGGATTTGCTATTGATTAAATTGGATAAGGATTTGATTTGGATAGGACCAGACATTTTAGTGCCTGAAAATTGGTCTTAATTATAGAAATGAAACTATTCTTGTGGCTGATCGGAAAGGGCAAGCCAAAGGCTCTGAGATTAAGGGTGGGGAGAGGAAATTCACCATAATATGGTTGAAGGCAATGAGAGGAGGAAAATATAGCTGTTTCCTGATTATCCTTAAGACTTGATGTTTTCAGGTTCAGCCCATCCAATAAACCAGTTATACAAGTAAAGGAATAAATAAGATAATTTAATCTAGTCATTAGGGCCATGAAAGTAAAATGGTGATGTGTTAGAAAGTGGTGACTGGGGAGTAGGAGGGCTGCTCTAGATTGGCAGGGAGGGGGGTCAGGGATGGCCACTCCAGGAGGTGATGTTTGAGCTGAGAGGAGAAGTGATGAGGAGCTAGTCCTGTAAACATCTAGGAGATGAGTGTTCCAGGGACAGGAAGTGGGCATTAACGTGGCTTTTACAAGAAGCAGAGAGGAGACCAATGCAGCTGCAATGCAGTGGTGAATGTTCACGCAAGACGTGAGACAGATCAGATAGGGGGCCAGTCATGCAGGGCTTTGTAGGCCAAGGTCAGGAGTTGAGGGTGTATTCCAACATTAGATAGTAGCTGTGCCTGTCCCTTGTGCAGTGTGGGAAGTTGCACACTGGTGCCCTCCTGACTGCTCTGTCTCTCTAAGAAACGGTAGGCTGCAGAAATGCACCATGTGCAGCCATGGTTGTCAGGCCTTTAGGCTTTAAGACAGTGGGCCGTGGGCGCGAATGTTGTTGGAGGTACTCAGATGGATGGCAACTGGCATTCTTGCACCCATGCCACCTCACTGCCAACATAAGATGTGAGCACCGGATCAATCAATGGCAAATTAAATCCCCCTTGGGTGAAATTCCTCAGGGAGGGATGGACTTCTGAGACTGAGGCAGGAAGCCAGGATTTCATTCACCTCTTGGATACACGCTGTCTTACTGAATGATCTTATTCCAGCTCTTCCAGGTCTACCCTCCGTGAAAAAGAGAACACTTTTTCTGGGATCCACCAGCAGGCTCTACGCTGACTCAACAGGAAGGGGACAAGAACAGGGAGCTAAGGCTGCTGGTAGCAGCGGGTCGCTCTCCAAGCTGCAGGATGGCCAAGGACACGGCCAACTCCACTAGAGGGCGCGCGCCCTCCCAGGCGGCGGTCCAGAGCCCCCGCGCCGCGTCCCAGCGCCAGCCTGCACCCGGGCGAACGCCCCTAGTGGCCGGGGTGAGTAGCGAAGAGACCAGACGTCGGTCCCTAGGGACCTGTCTCTGTTCCGCCGTTCTTGGTACCTTTCCAGGCCTTCTTCAGACCTTCGAGGCTGCAGCCTTGGTCATCCAAACCGAAGTTTGTCTCTGAGGTCAGGGGCGGGAGATAAACTCGGAACAGGTCTCCAGCCCAGCTTGCCCAGGACAGGAGAAAGGTGGCTCCAGTGCCGCTGTTCCTGCAGGCGGCATCTCCCGCACTAGCCCTCGGGTCAGCCCTGCGCCACCCCCAGCTACTCATGGGTTAAACCCCCTAGCCGCCCGCTCGCTTCCCGGTGCCAAAGTGGGTGTTGCTGAATTCCTCTCTCCCTCTCCCGTAATGAGGGGGCTGAGCTGTCCCTCCAAGGAGGGGGCATGGTGTGGATAAAAGAGACGAAAAAACAGGGAGAGGTTTCCAAAAATAAAAACCTTCCAGTTCCAGTTCCCCTTCGGAAGGCTCCGGCGACACGGAGAGCGCGCGAAGGTGCAGCTGCGGTGCGCGCCCAGCTGGAGACCAAGCGCGGACGCCAGGCGCAGAGCGCGCAGCCCCGGGCCGCTCTGCCGTCCAGCCCTCGCCCTGGGGAGAGCCCGGCCCGCAGCCTTTCTCCGCGCCCCGCACACGAGGAGAAGCCAGGAGGGAACCCGAGCGCAGCCCGTGGGCGGCCGGGGCAACCTACTGCCAACCCCCGACTGGTCCCGCGCGCACTGCTCTCCAGTGGCCCCGGCGCCATGAGGCCGCCGACCACCTCTTCCTGCCCCGGGCGCGCCCTGCGGGACCCCTGGAGGCGCTTCCTGCCGCTCACCCTGGCTCTCTTCGTGGGCATGGGTCACGCTCAGAGGGACCCGGTGGGACATTACGAACCGGCTGGCAGGGACGCGAGTAGACTGTGGCGCCCCAGGGGCAGCCACCCCGCAGGGGCTGCAGCCAAGGTGTACAGTCTGTTCCGTGAGCAGGACGCGCCAGTCCAGGGCTTGCCGCCGGCGGAACGGGCTCAACCCGGCTGGGGGAGCCCCAGGAGGCCCGCTGAGACCGAGGCCAGGAGGCCACCCCGAGCGCAGCAGCCGCGGCGAGTCCGGCCACCTGCGCAGACCTGGAGAAGCAGCCCCTGGAGCCAGCAGCAGCCCGCACCCCGGGCACGGGCCTCTCCGGCTCTCCCGCGCTTCGGGACCCTGCAGCGGCCCCGGGCCGCGCCCCCAGCCCCGCCGCGAGGGCGACTCACGGGGTGAGCACTGGAGAGGAAAGCATGGGGGTTGGGGGGAACGCGGGCTGCGGCTGAGCGTTCATTCCTGGAGGGATGTGCAGGCGAGAAGAGAGGGTGCCGGGGCTCTGTCCTTAGTCCCTCTGGCCTCAGTAGTGCGGGGAAACAGCACCGAACTGGGGCTTGTAGATCTGAGCCACTTTCAGAAAGTTGAGGGGAAAGAGAAACGCCATCCTCTCCCTTTCATACCAGCTCGCCAATACCGGACGTTAAATCCTTTCCTAATGTGCCTCTGCATCCCGCCCCCTCAGCAAACCGGTGCTGCTGGGGTCCGAGAGGGGGCGGGCGGGAGCCGCAGGGCGCGCGTCCGAGCGCCTCGGGCACAGGGGAGGTTGAGCCCCCCAAGCGCCGTTGGTTGGGGATGTCGGGGGCTCCATGGCGCGAAGGCAGATGCATCTCTGAGAAGGGGGCTGGCAGCGAAATCTGCGCGTGGGGACGAATATTTGGGTTGGGCGCAGGTTGGCCTGGGTACACGGAAGGGGAGTTGGCTCGGGGGCACTTTGGGCAGGAAGCCTGCCCCCGGTGTGTCTGTGGCACAGTGGTTCCCCCTGGGAATGGGCCTGTGTGTCTCCCTGTGCAGTGAAGTGTCAGCGCCATTCAGTCACTTTGCAGGTTTTTCCCAGCCCAGCGATTTGCTTTTTCCCCTCTCCCCAGGCACCGCCCGCTGCCCGCCGGGGGGCGCCCTCGCAGCGTGGGGAGGCTCCTCAGTCGGGGATCATCCTGGCTGCCAGGCGCTGGGCCCTGCCTGGATGTCAGGTGTTTCCAGAATGGAGGGAAGGGGAGCCTTTGGGCAGTGCAGGGCTGGGTGGGGGCACCACGGGGAGGCTGGGAAGAAACTTGGCATCCCTCTTGGCCTGAGTCCGATTTACCATTTGAGTTTAGTCCTGGTGCATGAGCAGAAGGGCTTGTACCCCCAGTTCTATTCCCCAGCACGTTCTTAGGGCCTTTGCACTGGCTGCTTTCCTTGGCTGCAGCAACCTTCTCCCACACTTCAGCAGGACTCCCTGGCTTCTTTGAGATCTCTGCTCCTGCCCCACCCTCTCTCTCCCTTCACAGGTTTTATATTTCTTCATAGCACTTATTCCCGTGTGACATATTATGTATCTGTTTCTGTGTTTCATGCTAATGTAAGTTCTATAAAAACAGAGGCTTTGTTTTGTTCATTGTTGTTACCATTGCCTAGAAGAGTGCCGCATATATGTGGTGCTCATTAAGTACCTGTTGAATGAGTGAATGAATTCCCTGCTGCCCACGGAAGGCCCAGCTTAAAGCAGGCGGACTGTAGACTCATGCACTGCCAAGTCTCTTACACACAGAATCAGTCAACAACTGTTAATGGAGCACCTACCATGTTTCAGGTTGTTTTCTTTCCTGACCTGTGCAAGTGAATACATGCTTCCTAAGAGCAAGTGTGGGGAGCATGGGATAGGAGATGGGTCCCAGAGACAAAGGCATTGTGCCTGCCAGGAGAGCAACTCAAATACTTATAACCGAGTTGGAGAAATGAACAGATATGTACCAGTGAATGTGCTTTCTAGTACCAGAAGCTTCATGTTAAGTATAAAGGAATGGGACAAGTGTGGCTGAGAAGCTCAGAGGACAACGAGGCCTGTGAGCTGGAGCCCGTGGTGCCCAATGGACAGCATGTGGGGAAGCAGAGGGGAGGTGGCAGAAGTGGGACCTAGAGGCGTAGCACTGCCCGAGGACAAGGGCTTCCCACTGTTGGCACTGGCCTAGAGGCAGGACTGCACCTGTGTGTAGTGGAGCCATGGAGGTCAGACTGGAAGCGTAGGTTAGGCCAGGTCGTGGAGGAGCTTTCACTGTAGGCATTTAGGTGGGGGCTAGCGGTGGGAGGGTGTACTATTAGAAGTCATGAAATGAGGTAGTGATGAGCAAAGCAGATTGTCACCACAATAAGGCTGACAGATGTGCACAGGTGTGTAAGAACACGGGCTGGGTGCCACCCACAGGCACCTGCTGTATGCAGGTGCATGCAGAATATCACATGTTGGGTTTGGCTCCTTTCCCAGATAATTTTCTGCAGCTTTGATAAAGAGTGAGTTCCTCTGGCACTCCAGCCAGCCACTCCAAGTCAGCCAGGGAGGGGCTGAGTGGCAGTCTTGTTAATGGGCTTTCTCAACCCAGGTCCATTCTGGCTGATGGCCCCTGGCCAGGCTGACCTCTTTGGCAATTGCCTTGTGGGTTCCTTAGGGCCAAGAACCAAGTGCCACCTGCTGGTGAAACTTGGAATTACACCACTACTGCCAGGGATCATTGGATCATTCATTCATTCATTCATTCATTCATTCATTCATTCATTCATTCATTCAACAAGTATTTGGAAGGCCTCCTATATGCCAGGCACTGTGCTGGATGGTGGGGATACAGCAGTGGCCAACACAGCCTTTGTCTTCATGGAACTTGCAATATAGTGAGGGTTTTTTGCACACAGCAAACCAGAACAGACACAATTTCTGCACTAATGAAATTTACAGTCTACAGGAAAATTTTGGAGCCATTGTTTCTCAATATTTAGGGTTTCCTGGACTAGCCTCAAAGCATGCCACCTTTTTAATATTTTCCTCTTTTATCTCTTGCTTTATTATTTTTCTTTAAATTTATATACTGTTAAAATAACAGGATTTTGTGTTTTATTTATTTTAAAGTATTTTATATTATGAAGTTTTGTACAAATGCACAAAAAGGTATTGGATGTAATATAACTCACAAGCCAACTTTATCAAACCTTAATATTTTGGCACATTTTGCTTCTGATTTTTTTTTTAGTTGAAACTTCCTCTATGAATTTGCCTCCATCTCTACCCTAAATTTACTTATGAGTCCAACATATGTTTTTATACTATTACTACATATGCATGCATCTGTAGAGCAACAATTTGTTTTGCATATTTTAAACATAGATAAATGATGCCATGCTGTATTATCCTTCTAAAATTTCTTCTCCTCTCCTCGTTAGATTTTGAGATTGAACCATGTTAATGTAATTAGCCCAAGTTTATTCATTTGAACTGTTGTATATTATTCCACTGTCTGAATATACCACAGTTTATTTATCCATCCTCCTGTTTTGGGACATTTAGATGAGTTACACTTTCTTGCTATTACAAACAGCGCTTGACTCATTTTTCTACATAAATAAATTCATTTCCAAAGAAACTTTGTATCACTATCATAAGTTGAAAATAGTTTCACTTGTCATGAAGAGAAGATAACTGTAGGAAAGTTGAAATGAAAAGTTCTCAAATTCTAGTCAGATACTGTTATCTTAAGAAGCTCAATCGTGTGTTCTCCCTGTTGAAAAGGGGGACTGGCAGGTGTTGGGGGAAGGACCTGGCTTACAGATCAATTTTTTTTCACTGACCTAATTAGGCTAGAAAATCACCAAAATAGGAATCACTTTATCACCAAGTAACTCAGAATTGTTGAATGCTGTGATTGTGGAAACCTAAAACCCACTTCTCTGCTCTCAGTGATGCTCATCTGCTTTTTGGGAAACACTAGATTAAGTTAAACAAAGAAGTATTAAATGTATCACATGTGTCAGGCGCTGTGTTAGACTCTAGAGGCACAAGGAGGAATCAGAAAAGAACCCTCAGGTAGTCACATAGAGAATCATACAACTAACATCCTGAGACAATCACTACTCAAAGATCACAGGGAATGGAGAACAGGGAAGGCAGGGTAGATGTCAAAGTAGGTTTTACACAAAGAAGGTAACATTTGATTTGGAAGTCTTGGAGTGCAAAGGATTTTAATTGCCAAAGAAGAGAGGGAAGGCATTCTAGGCAGAGAGTAGCTTAAGCAAAGGCATCAAAATGTGAACACAGAGAATGCAATTGGCAGATGACAAACTTTGTATCCTTGGAGGATCACAGCCTTGGTTGCGGGTGGTCATGGAGACGAGGGAGGGGTAATGGAAACAATTAGGCTGCAGAGGCAAGTGGGGGCCTGGTTAACTTTGTAGAGGCCAATGGAGAGCTATGAGAGGTTTTAAACAAAGGATTACTATGATCATATTTGTCTGAGGTGGAATAGCAACTGTCCCAAGCTGTTAGTCAGAAGTGTCCCCAAGTATTGGGCAATGATGCTGCATATCAAGCTAATGTTTGCTGAGTGGTATCACCTGGAAGGTTGGGCTCATATGATCTCTAAGTGGGACCTTCCGGGGAGGCAGACCAGAGTCATATACCCCAGCTAGTAAGGCTCATTTGCTATCACCAGCCGCGCAGAGCCCACTGAATGGTCATCTCTTAGCTGGCCACCTCCCTGGGTCATCTCTTAGCTGGCCATCTACCCAAAACTCTAATACTGGCCTAAAAAGGACCCTCAAGAGGCCGTCATTGAGAACCTGAATCCCTCTTGAGCACCCATCCAGTCCCAAGCTGCTCCTCCCACCCCCACTGCCTGGCAGCCTTTAATCCTAGCCACTCCTCACTGTGGCCCTGATGGCCCTGAGGGTTCCACCATGGGCAGGCAAGGGAGGCCCAGCTGCCGCCCTCCTACAGTCAGCTGCGAAACCATCCTGAGGTCATCAGCTGGCTCAGGGGGCCTCCTTGGGCAGTGCTCCATGCCATGACTGCCCAGCCAGACGGGCCCCTCAGTTTGTGCTATCTGGACTCTCACAGGCCCTAGTTCTTAGAAAACTCCCAGGGAATGTGGTCTGTTTCCTTTCAAAAACTTCCCAGGCCTCTAGGAGGTCTTGTCACCACCATGAGGAGTAGTGAGTTACAAATGGGTGGGTAGTTTCCCCCTTCTGCCAGGGGACACATTCAGAAACCTTGGGTATGAGAACCAGCCCCCTCTCCAGAACCCGGTGCCTGGGCCCTGATGGGAAGGAGGCCATCATGGAGCCAAGAAGCTGCTGAAGGCAGTCAGTGGTCCAGAGAGGCTTTGGGGTGGCTGGAATGGCATAGCCCTTCGCTGGGGGAACATTCTGGGAGCTTCCTGGGAGGTTGGGCCAAAGGGCCAGGAATGAGCCTCAGCTTTTTCAAGCTGCAGGAATTTATTTGGAAAGTTTTGTAAGGCTCCAAAACCACACAAGCTTTGGGGTCCACTCAAATGTTAAGCAAATTCCTAAGTGAGACCAGATGCTTGCCCATTCTGACCACAGAGGTCATGGGATGGCCCCTGTCCTGTCCCTCTCCCTCACTCTCCAGCTTGGTACCTCTGCCACCACACTCATCCTGAGTTTCATGAGTGCTTAGTAGACAATTTCTGATGCTGATGATGGGGTCCACGAAGCCAGAACCAGGAACGGCCTGAGCTGAGGAGTCAAGCCCCCAGAGGTCTTCTCCAGGAAGATCCCTTCTAGGCAAGTCACCCAGGTCCAGGCATTTGGGTCTTTATACCGAGACTCAGGGAGTGGCGACACCTGCTGGTGCTGCAGGGGGCCTCACCAGATGCCTGAAAGCAAAGTTTGGGTGAGTTGGGTGAGTGCCCCAGCAGTGAGCGGAGGTCAGTGTTTCCAGTGGATGCGCTCAGTGCCAGCACCAAAGAGGAGCTGGGAGAAGGACTGTGTCCTATTAAGTGTGTCCTATTAAGTAAGTTCCCTCAGCCTGCCCAAGTTAAAACAGAGTGCTCCTTCAGCAGAGGCAGCTTAACCCAAGTCCCCAGCCCCGTCTTCCTACCAGCTTGCCACCTCACAAGTCCTGCTTAAATAGAAGAGCTAGAGCCCAGTGCTCAGTCTTACTGCAGCCCCTGGGCCAAGGCTCCTCCCAATGTGCATTTGTTAGCAGGCGATGCAAATGTATGTCTGTAAGAGTTTTATGTGTGTCTTCCAGCTCCCGTTGGGTTGTCAGCATTTGTTGGGCAAGGACGTGGTGCTTGTTTTTTGGTGAGAGGAAATGTAGACTTGGAGCATGACAGTGTTGGGCCAACTCAGGTTTGAATCTGGCTCAGGCTCTCACTTACTGTTTAGCCTCAGCAAGTGACTGAACCTCTCTGATCTTGCTTTATGGCCATCTTCATGATCACTGTCATTGTTGTCCCAGTGGGCTCTGTACTGTACGGATGGAGAGAGTGAGGTTCCCCAACATCATGCAGAGAATGGCAATCAGGACTCAGTATTAGATCTTCAGAATCCCAAAGTGCCTTCCCCGGGCCGAGTGGCCTCCCTAGAGAAGGGAGACAGTCTGTGCAGCCTGACAGTGTTCTGTAGAGGGCAGGACCATCAGAGGGGCTCTGTGAATAGTCCCCTTCTGAGCATCCTTATACCTGACCCCATTTTGGTGACTCCACAGGAGGAACGTCTGTGGGGGAAAGTGCTGCCCGGGATGGACAACAGCAAACAGCACCAACCACTGCATCAAACGTGAGTGCTTCTCCCCACCTACCCTTCTCCTCTCTCTCTTTTGAAGTGGGCTGGGCGTGGGGACTCCAGACCTGGAGCAGAAGTGTCTTCCCCAACCTTCCTCCTGAGGATGGGAGTAGAGGCAATGTGCCCTGGGAGGGAGGAGATTATAAAATGCCTCCAACTGAAAACAACTTCTCAAATAAAAGCCCAGCTTACGTGTTTAAAGCTTCCTGCATTTCCTTCCTGCTGCCCCACTGTGTTGGCACCTCACTTGCTGTGCCCACAGGGTCCCTTAGGTGCCCACATGCCCTGTGGTCTGTAGAATGTGGCTGGCCCCAGAGCCTCTGCATTGCACATTTCCAGAGACGCCGCTCTCTGGACCTGGCCTCTGTCAGGTATCCCGCCAGGATGGTCAGATGAGGCTCTGACCACTTGTCTGGAGCAGCCTTCCTTTGGACTGCTTCAAAGCCCGGCGGGCTGGCCCAGATGAGAGAAAAGAGAGAACAGTCATCTTAGTTACGTGGAAACCAAGGAGTGAGGCAGGAGGAGCCAAGCCTCCACTGACGGTGTCAGGGGCAGTAACAAGGGCCAGAGCCCATACTCAACGCAGCACTCGCTTTGTGCAAGGCGCACTTACATCCCCACAGGGCAGATGGTACCACTGTCCATTTGGCAGATGAGCAAACTGATGCACAGGCAGGTCACGTGCTCAGGGTCACATGACCTGGAAACGGCAGGATTTGAACTCAGGTAACCGGACTCCAGGGTCCCTTTTTTTAAATCACTACACTCGCCTTCCACATATCTTACCTTGCTTTCTGGGCCTTTGTGCATCTGTGAACTGGGGATAACAATCATCTACTACTGCCATTGCCACCACCGCCACCACCGCCATTCCTGCTGCACTGCTACCACCACCACCACCACCACCATTGCTGCTGCACTGCTACCACCACCACCACCACCATTGCTGCTGCCATTGCCACCACCACCACCACCACCATTGCTGCTGCACTGCTACCACCGCCACCCTTATTACTGCTGCTGTTACTGCTGCTCCTACCACTGTTGCTACCGTTACTTCTGCTACCACCATTACTACCGCTACTACCATAACTAGTACTTCTACTACCATCACTGCTGCTATCATTACTACTGCTACTACCATCACTGCTACTACTACTACCAGTACAACCATTACTACTGCCACTACCATTACTAGTACTGCCACTACCATTACTAGTACTGCCACTACCATTACTAGTACTGCCACTACCATTACTAGTACTGCTACTACCATTACTACTACTATCACCATTACTGCTGCTGCTACCACTGCTAGGATTGCTACTACTACTGCTCCCACCACTACACTGCTAGCTAATAGCTGAGGATTTACTGTTCCCAACACTGTGCTAAGCTCTTCACATACACTATCTTAGTTAAGCCTCCCAATAATCTTATAATATGAGTATTTATTGATCATTTACAGACGAGGAAACCGAGGCTCAGGTTAGTTGGGAAACATGGCCAAGGATATCTCACCTCAAGTGCTGGAGGAAGAGCTGGATTCAGGCAGTCTGACTCCAGAACCCAGCACTCTTCTCTATGGGGCTTTGTTCCCTCCCGACACCAATGAGGCTGGGCCTTCTGGAGTTGGGAATCCCCACAGATAATAACAGATATGGGGGTTTCAGGGAGCCCCTTGGATCTTTCTCTTTCACATCCAGGGCCCCTCTTGAGCTCCCGTCAGCTCCCAGGTCTGTATGGCAGCTCCAGGAACTCCCCCGAGCGGTCCTTCCTGGAGCTGCCACCACCCTTAGTCTGGCCCTAAGCCTGGCTGCAAAGCCCCAGTCTCACCAGCAACCCCTCCTGCCCAAGAACAAGCCCACAGGCTCTTAGCAGTGTGAGGGTTTCCAGGTTCGTGACAAAACTTATGGTGTTCCAGCCCTGATGGAGACCCTCATCTCTGGTTCTGACGCCTCCAAAGTGGGGATGAGACAGGGATGAGATGGGGCTGCTTCCACGCCTGTGGGGATGGGAATGCTGGCTCACCAAGTTCTTAGTCCTGCCTCAGACCTCATGGCCTTGATCTCTCCCAGTCAGCTGATGATGGTCAGGCAGAATCTTGGGCCTCTCTAAGGATCTACAGATAAAGAAATCAAAACCCCAAATTCAAAAACAAACAGCAAAGCAGATTGCCTCCCTGGAAATTCTTTCCTTTCAGGACCCTGGATTAGTGTGGGCTTTCAGAGGACAGGCCCTCTGTGGCTGGGGGAAGAATCAGGGGACACCTCATAATTTTAAAGATGAAGACAGCAAACCTCGGAGAAGTGGTGACTAGCTCAAGGTCACAGACCTCATTAGAGGATCTGAGAATCAAAATCAGTGACCCCCCCTGGCAGAGAAGCCAGAGATGTGTGTAGTCAGGTAGTTTTATGCTCAGCAGAAGCTCTGGTGTGTGTGTTTTTAAATCACCCTAGGTGATTCTAGCCAGAGCTGAAGACACTGAACAGATTTTGGGGTCCATCATAGGAAGATCTGCCTTGAGGGAGTCCTACTCAAATGTGAATGTTCCCCTGAATCCTCTAGTATCTTACTAAAGTGCAGATTCTGATTCAGCACGTCTGGGGTAGAGCTGGAGAATCTGTGCTTCTAACAGTTCCCAGGGGCTGGTGCTGTTGGTCCAGGGACCACATTTTGGGGGCCTTGGGAGACTCTGGAGGCTGTGGAAGGGACTTGGGGTTGGAGGTGGGGAGTAGGGTTGGAAAGTTCTAGCTAGCTTAACAGAGAGTGTTGCTGAGATTTGAGTTGAAGTTGGAGCAGGGTGGCTTCAGAGGGGGTGGGCTTCTCACCAGCTGCCTGAGAAATCTGGGCATGAGCCTTGCTCTGGCCCTCCAGCCCCCAAAGCTCTCAGTTTCCTGACTTGCACGTGATTTTCCAGCATTACTCTCTGCCAAACTGGAGTTTCGACATTGGAAACTCGAAGTTGGGTGAGTCTGCAGATTGTCAGAACCAATGTGTGTGTACACCCTTGTGCCCCAGTAGTGGGCTGCTCCAGCGTGCTTCCAGTGCCCACTGCACCCTGGGGGTCCTAAGCCCCTGTTATTTCCCTCCCGGGCCCTCTCACCCTGCTGCTCCCCTGGCTGTCCCCTGACCCACGCACACAGGCTGGCACTTCCCCTGAAGGAATTGCCAATGGGCGTCAGCCTTTCCCACTTGGTCAGCTTGCCCACTGAAGGGCTGTGTGCTAATTAGCTGGGCTGTGCTGTTTGCTTGTTGCTGTTCCTCTGCTAATAAGCCTAACAAGAACCACGTGGGCAGTGGGGCGTTGGCTCTGGATGGCTGGGTCCTAAGCTCTGTAGAATGTAGGGCTCTTGGCTTCACACCCTGTCAGCTGGCTCTCCTACCTCCCCCAGTGGTTTGCCGGCTCCCTCTCCCCTCCCCACAGCTGCCCCTCTGGCTGGAGCTGAGACTGTCAATGCTGGGGAATGCTCATGACTCTGTCTGAGAAGTTTCACACATATTGGGTGACTCCTAGGACAGCAGAGGAGGAGAGCTGACAAGGACGGGTGTGTGACATCCTCCCACTGCCAAGAATGAAATCTAGTCCCAGAACCGTGTGGAGACTCAGTCTGTCCCCAGGTGTCTCCCAGATTTCTATGGGTACAACCCACTGCCCATGTACAGGGAGTGATGGCCTAGCCCCCTGGGGCCACTCCCTGGCCCCCTCTTGCATCCTCTCACAGAATCCTAGGTTGCTGTAACACACAAGCCCATCTCCCTGGCAGGTCCTTTCCTTCACCCCTGCCCAGTCGCTGGACCTCGGGGAGCCACTGTATCTGCAGGTGGCCATTGCTGGAGCCACAGCTCCTCCCTCCTCCTTGGCGGGGTCTTACGCTGGGTCCTCTCTCCTCCTCTCATTTTGGTATCTGCCTGTCCTTCTGTGGCTTTGCCAGCTCTGTCATGCAATTTATGTTTTTATGCATTTGTGGAAGCTGAGGACTGGGGCCTGCCTGGCCCCCTCAACTGAGGGGAAGGTCTGTAGAGTGTGGGGCGAGTGGGTCTTGTGTATAGTTAGGGCTTTTGGAGGACTGTCCATCCTTCCCAGACTGGCTCACCCTCATCATCACCCCAATACACACGCACACACACAAACACACACACACACACAATGGTAAGAGGATTCTTTAAATTCTCATTTTATCTCTGCCTAGCTGCACAGCAGCTGGGGCTGTTCTGGGGTTGAGGATGGGTCTAGGTGGGTCGCTGCCCTCCAACCCCGCAGCAGTAAGGCGTAAGGTTAAGAGCACGTGTTTTGAATTCTAGTGCCAGATCCAAGGCGTGGTGGGTTTGAATCCCAGTTCTGTGTCCTCAGGCAAGTGACTGGCCCTTTTTTGCTAAAGAGCCTCATCTATACAGTGGGTATAATAATCTATATAGAGTTGTTCGGGGAGATTAATCATAACACTCTGTATCTCTTACTGTGGGTCAGAGCTTAAATTATTAATTTTTAATCCTCACAACAACCCTAGAAACTAGATTCAATTTTTATTCTCATTTGCAGATGAGGTTAAGTATTTGTCCCAGTCTTGCAGCTGGGAATCAGCAGAGCCTGGAAGTTTAGCCATTACCCTTAATCTGGACCCAGGATATTGTGCTACCTGCCTGGGCTGAAATGCTTACTCCACCTCTTAGCTACATGACTGTGGGCAAGATGCTTAAGCTCTCTGTGCCTCAGTTTCCTCTCCTGTAAAATGTGACTAATATTAGTCTCTGCCTCTCATAGTTGGAAGGAACAAGTGAGATAACTCAAGTTAAGTGTTCAGTTCAAGGCATGCTCTGTCCACATCTGGCCTTGGTGTTGAGACAGGGACTGTGTCTCCTGGCCCCTAGCATGCCGCTCAGTAGTAAGTGTTCACTGGACACAAAGTAAAGGCTCAATAAGTGTGTACTGAATAATCCAGGGCCTAGCCCAGGTCTGTGCTGAGGTGAGCCCTTTTGCAGTCCCAGGTCTG